GTATATATCTTCAGCATTTCAGCAGTTCGGTGATGTTATTAGCAACGTTTCTGTGTTACTTACGCGGAACTGAAGGAATATGGGTGCATTACAAACTTACATCTATCGTTATCCCCTGACGTCACTTTCCGTTTAGGATTTTAGACTTGCCAGCAAAGTTGAACACAAATATGCTTTATAGAATGATTTCTTATTTTGGAACTGCCAATTTTGTTAACGCCATATCTATAATAAAGTAAATATAATTATGGCAAACCATTGGAAAATATAAAAATCTGGTTTCTTCTCGGCTTCAAGCAATTCTACCGTATTAACCCTCATTAACTCATTTCTGGTATTACCAACTCCAGCTACCCTACCCGTAGGTTTCTACAGAACACAAGTCTAACTTCCTTTGGGCATCACATACACGTAACAACGATTAGAAACGAGAACATACACCCACCTATCGCACCTAAACAACGTAGGAACAGTACATACATCGATAGATAGCTGGGAAGATAGGTGGGTGTGACATTCGCGGGGTTTATTCTGCCAGGCCGTTGAACGGAAGTTGCAGCCATGTATGACGCGGAGTACGAGCAGGGCCCGTATGGCGGCGAGGAGGGCGAGGAGGAAATGCCGGATACAGAGAGAGAACTCGCCGAGGACGCGGCCTGGAAGAAAATCCAGCAGAACACGTTCACACGATGGGCCAACGAACATCTGAAGCATGCCAACATGACCGTCACGGACCTGTCGACCGAGTTGAACAACGGATTAAAGCTGATCTCTCTGGTCGAAGTGCTAAGTCAGAAACGTATGCCAAAGCACAACAAGCGACCCAACTTCCGGTCACAGAAACTAGAGAACATATCAGTGGCGCTGAAGTTTCTCGAAGGAGAGGGAATCAAGATTGTTAACATCGGTAGGTTATATATATGTAATTATTTACTTTGCTATCTCTTGTCCTGCTTCTTGTTGCATACTAGAAGTAAATAAATTCGTACTGGTTGGTGTAGTCAAGCGAAATGTACGTGATCGCCGATCGGTGTGAAGCAACGATGTAGGTGTCTGTGAGCGCCATGATCATCTGCTTTGCAGAAAAAAAGCAATTCCCGAGTAAAAACCCAAGCCGAGGGCAAAGTAAATAGACGGCCTTTTAATTCCTATAGACACTAAGCTGGTAATATGTGGTTGAGTATTTGCTCTTCCATTATACGTACCCCCTCTGCTCATTAGCAGGGTTAATACTAGTGCAGATTAAAACACCCACTCGTACATGTATGCATACATGTGGCTGCAATTAGAGAATAAACACAACCACCATTAGGAATTACTAATTATTAATGGTGGGGTATATGCACGCTTGCTCTTGGGACATAGAGGTAACACAGAGTAAGATGGTACCAGAATGCCTGGGTACTTTTCAACACGTGTGAAATCATTACTTGTAAACAGAAGGTCAGTGCCCACTAATATCCCCACTACATGTACCCTACATGTGTTTGCTTTCGTCTGCCACATATATTGCTCTCAACGTTGGCTGGGTATGTGATGGCCTTGGACCATCCAGACCTGAATATAAAGACATATACACAGGCCATCTGACTTGATCTTTTCTGTATGAAGTCTTGTTTTCCTACTTATCCTTAGTGGCCCCTCAAGGATAATGATAAATACCTTAGGCCATCCTTAAAAAAATTCTATGTTTGCTGTCCCCTGACCCATGATTTTTTTAGTTGGTAGGTAGGTAGGTCTTTTTTTTTTAGGCATAATAGATATTTTAAGTCTGTCCTCATGTTTGCCACACATGCTTTGTGTTTCAGTTTTAACTATAAAGAATGTAAAAAAAAAAAAAAAGGAACCCAAAATGCCCAAAAAAACTTGGGTCGCGGCTATTTTCGTGGGTCGGTCAGAGGACAGCAAACATATAATTTTTTAAGGATGGCCTTAGGCACACTCACCCTTTTTCGGTACTCCAAAGTGTGTAGACTGTTGCCCTGGGTGTGCCATACTGCTTAGGTAATGGGGGGGGGATAGTCACTTTAAAAAAAAAAGGTTGGAAAGTGTGCCACCAGACAAGTGGTGAACGGAGGTTTTCGCCAGCTCGGTTTTTTTCGCATGCTGCTAGCAATGTTCAGCTAGTTCTTTCATATCTAGAGCTGTCCTACATCCGTCCGACTCTACGCTAAAACATTCCCCGGTAAAACATTCCCCGCGCGCTAGATGTGTTTTCGCGTCTCGGCTCGTTATTTATAAACTAACTGGGTTTTCAATTTTGTTTACAGATAGTACAGACATTGTTGAGGGAAAGGTGAAACTGATCTTGGGACTAATATGGATGCTCATTCTCCATTACTCTATCTCCATGCCCATGTGGGAGGACGAAGAGGGAGGTAGGCATTCGTGCGGTGAAGCCAAACTAACACAATCCTACAGTTCGTTAAGTGCCAGCTTCCGTGTTAGCTATTGTATGCACGGTTTATCACTGTATAATATGATGCACATATATTATTTACTCTGAGAAATGTGGATGACTTGTTGTAAAACGTTGCAACTAATAAAACTATTAATAGGGAGTCTTATTTTTATCCAAGTGAACAAGAAAATTTTTTTTCATGGAAAAACTTAGTAGGGAATATAATAAGAATTCCTGAGAAAGGATTCGATAGATTGATTAGTAATTTGTGATAAAGCCTGATCGATGCCAAATATCTAATGAGTTTACCAGAATATATACCAGAATATATTCGTAATGTGTCTTACACAAAGCAGGTGGCTAATGCGAAGTTCATAATATGTTTTTTATCCATGTTTAAGTTGAATAGTTTAAAGGAGCAAAAATATGCGCTACCAAAAAAGCGTTTCCGCGCGAATGCCCCCGTCTTTATTTTGTGTGTGCTGCCAGCATAAATAAACGACTTCAATCTCTAACGTTTTGAGCGCCAAGCATCGAAATCACCGGATGGTTACATCCCCCCCCCCCCGGTAACTGTCACCGTTGCCCGCGACTCATCGCCATGCTCCCTCTCGTTACACAGCTCCGTGGGAGGCGCCGGCCACTCAGCAGACGCCGAAGCAGAGGCTTCTGGGATGGATTCAGAGCAAGGTGCCGGACCTTCCGATCAACAATTTCACGACAGACTGGAACGATGGCAAGGCAGTCGGTGCCCTCGTGGACGGAATCGCTCCAGGTTAGATCGCTGACAACAGCAGTGCAGAAAAACTAGGAGACAAGTTAGTCATGCTCGTATGTGTGTGTGCATCTTGTGTTCCGTCTACATAGGCTAAGAATGGCCGCCTGCTATACTGCTGTACTGATATACTGCTATGCAAATGTTAATTTCTATCCCTGATGTCTCCATCCTCAGGTCTGTGTCCTGACTGGAAGAACTGGGATCCAAAGAACAAGAAGCCAAACTGCACTGATGCGATGCAGCTCGCTGACGATTGGCTGGGCATCCCGCAGGTAAGCTAGCTAAATACCTCTCACCTGTGTACACCTGGGGAAAGGTGGGTGGGTGAGGATAGGTGGGGGCATGGGGAAAAGGGCGGGGGGAGATGGGGGGCTAGGTGGGTGCATGGGGAAAAGGTGGGGAAAGGTGGGTGGGTAGGGGAAAGGTGGAGGGAAGTGAAGGAAATGTGGGTAGGTAGTGAAAAGGTGGATGAAGGTGGGGAGAAGCTGTGTGAGGGTGAGTTCCCAGCAACAGCGTAGGAAGGAAAGTTCCGATGCACGTCTTGGGTTTTTCCCGATCTGTTTAATCCTGAAACGTCTGCATCTTGTAAGAATTCAGCAGTATAGCAACGTTGGATGGCAGTGGCGGCTATAAATGCATGTTGCTATAACTCAACTGAAAAACACTTTATCTTTGCTGCATCGGTTTCAGCTAAAATTCTGCTGGAGTTTACATATATGGGAACAGGAGCTGCTGCGTTATCACTGGGGTGTATATGACAAGATAAAAACTAAGGCGATGGAGCGAAATGAGACATTCCTGAGTTCTCCAGCTACTTACAGAGTCTATCTTTATAACATTTTCCTCGATAGTTATGCTAAACAGGTTATTCATCCTGTTAGCAAGCAATTTCGTCTGCCCTCGGTCTCTGACTAGTACTAGGCTAGTATAAACAGCAAAACCACATCGACTGTATGTTCAAGCGTGCACATGTGCGTACGTATAATGGCATGTATTTACACATAACCATATCCACGGCTCCCACCCGGTCTTCTTATCAGTTTGATTTTTACCTCAGCAGCGAATGAGAATTCCCCGAGCCCACCCACGTCTCACACTGAGCCGCCCATGATTCTGTCTGTCTACATCAACACCTCATTACCAAACTACATGTAATTAATACTTAATTAGAAGAACAAATACGTACAGTGTGTTCCGAAGACCTTATTTCAGCGGGAGATGATTTTAAACGTAACTAAATATAACTCAAGAGTCAGTCAGTAAACTTGTGTGGCGACGTGTTCGTATACAACAAACAGCGGGTATAGTAGCAGCTCAGAGAATAGTGGGGTTTAATGGGAACAGCTTGTCTCTAACCCATGCATTTCCCAGTGTAAGACATCATGCTATGACACGATGTGATGTCATCATCCATCTCTGTTGTTACACAACATCATGATAAGTGATTGTCTGCGTGTACATATTGCCCATGTATATATATAGCGGCAGGCCGCACGGGCTGCGTGCATTTCTCATGTATATATATAGCCACAAGCCGCAGGGGCTGTATCGTGCATGTATGTATGTACCCGCGGGGTGCGTGTCTGGACGGCTAATGAGTGAGGGGCTCGATATACACGCTTATAAAGAGAAGTAGGTGGGGGAAGAGAAAGATAGAGGTAGAGAGGGACAGAGAGACAGAGAGAGAGAGAGAGAGAGAGAGAGAGAGAGATAGACAGAGAGAGAGAGAGAGAGAGAGAGAGAGAGAGAGAGAGAGAGAGAGAGAGAGAGGAGAGGGAGGGAGAGAGGGGTGGAGAAAGAGAGATGC